TCTTTAAAGGAGGTACATGCAAAAAACTTTGGCTAAACAAAACAAAAAAAAGGAGATATTTACAAGTTCATATGGATGGTCCTGCCTCTCCATATGTAATGTCTGAAAAGACTTATTCAACCTTTAACATATTGTTCGACTCTGTGTGAGCACACAACAACACAACTTCACCGTGAGTACCTCTTTTGTACTAGTGTAGTTAGTATTTGTTAGTGGTTAGCTCTAGTCTGAACTGATGGTCAAGAAAGTTAAAGGTTTTAGTTTAAAGGTGTTAGCTTAAACTAGTCTAAGTAGTTGAGTTTATCAACTTTGATGTTAGATTCCTAAAGAATCTTTAATGCTGAGATTTTTTTTTCTCTTTCAGCACCGATATAGACCATTGCTGGAATTTACAACATACCGCTGATGTCTGGAACAGATCGCCTCGCTAATAAGCTAGACTCTCTCATGATAAGGGCAAAGAAAAAGAAACCGCCTTATTGTGAGTTTTTAGAAGCGTTAAAAAAAAGCCACAGAGCTACAAAGAAAGCCACAGAGCTACAGATGAAATATTTTAATGAGTCCAAACGAACAAGTAAAGAGATTACTTAAGACTCACCTGAGAAAAAAATCTCAGCATTAAAGATTCTTTAGGAATCTCAAAGTTGATAAACTCAACTATTTGATTAGTTTAAGCTAACATCTTTAAACTAAAACCTTTAACTTTCTTGACCATCAGTTCAGACTAGAGCTAACCACTAACAAATGCTAACTACAACCAGTACAAAGAGGTACTCACAGTGAAGTTTGTGTTGTTGTTTGCTCWCACTAAAGTCGAACAATATGTTAAAGGTCGAATAAGTCTTTTCAGACTTACACATGGTCCGGCTGGACCGTCCATGTGACCTTGTAAATATCTCCCTTTTTCTTTTGCTAAAGTTTTTGCATGTACCCCTTTAAAGAGAAATGAAGAGATATTTTGAGTGAGATCTTCTTTTAGTTCCTTAGAGAATGACTGTTAGAATATTAGCTTAGCAATTTTTTTCTTGTAAGTCAACAGACTTTTTATACATGCATGTTTTAAAACCTTAGAGTTTCATTTTATTTGTTTTGTTCACTAGGAACTATATGCTAATCGCTAGATACCATTTAGTTACTGAGCACCTGATGTTTTTCCCAATACATTGTGTTCACATGCCGAGCTCTAGTCCACGCCATCAGCCCTGTAGAGGTCGACGCCATCAGCCCTGCAGAGGTCTATTCAACCAGTCTCCAGAAGCTTAACTCAGACCTGCAGAGATCAACGCCATCACTCTCCAGAGCTCAACTCAGCTGCCTGCAGAGGTCAAAACCATCACTCTCCAGAGCTCAACTCAGCTGCCTGCAGAGGTCAATCCATCAACCTCCAGAGGTCACCTCGCACCTACCCTAGAGGCCAAAGACAGCCCTGCCTCTCTAGGACCAACTCTCATCTGGTATGGAATTAACACTGACCTGTTTTTGGATTACTGACTTTGTTCTATTGCTTGAAGAGCGCTCCAGGACTGTGCTCCAGAACTAAAGGACGGATCCCTGACACCAGGACATGAAGGATGTTCATACCTCAAGAAGCAGGAAAACCTCACGTGATTATAACCAATTAACTTTTCAGTTCATTGTTATAATGGGGGGGATTGTAGCGGTTTCCTCCTTCAATTTCTGATTTCTGATGGTTGTTATGACTGTTTGGTGAAAGATATCAGATATATTTTTCAGACTTCTGTTAAAGCATCTTGCATGACCCTGTGCTTCAAATTAGCATATCAACAGTTACCATGGCGCCTCAGAAGACCAATGAAAGAATTTACATTGTCACCTTCCTGTCCCAACCCCCATATGGACAAGCTATTTACTTTTCTTCAAAGAAAAGTGGGTAGGGTCATAACATGCCTTCAAGAACCCTTCCAGCATGACTGAGAACAAAGGACCCACATTCTTCATTAAAATGTGAAAAAAAGAGGAAAGATGAAGGAATCTGTATCTAATA